TCACACTATAGTATTCCTGTATGTAGAGCCCTAGCCAGGGCGAGAAAGAGCAAGGGTGGCCAGATCAGCAGCCGCTCCCAGACACTTCAGGAGGCCAGGGTGGATGCAAAGGAAGGCAGAGTCAAGGCCACATCCTCCTGTAAGCCTCTCCTAGATGGGGCGCAGACTGAGGAAAGACACAGCCCCATCCTCAAGAGGACCCGGTCTGAGGGAGAGGCAGCCGCAGGATGCCACAGTCTGAGGGAGACGCAGCCCTGTCCTCAGGGAGCCCCAGTCTGAGGGAGACACAGTCCCGTCGTCAAGGAGCTCCAGTCTGAGGGAGACACAGCCTTGTCCTCAGGGAGCCCCAGTCTGAGGGAGACACAGCCCCGTTGGCAAGGAGCTCCAGTCTGAGGGAGACACAGCCCCGTCCTCAGGGAGCCCCAGTCTGAGGGAGACACAGCCCCGTCCTCAGGGAGGCCGTCTTAGGGGAGACACAACTCATTCTCAGGGAGCCCCAGTCTGAAGGAACTATCATGCCCCTTGTCCTCTGTTTAATTTCCTGTGTGGCTCTGGGGGTTTTATCAATATCTCAGTGCCTCAGTTTTCTTGTCTGTGTAATGGCAGCACTGCTACACACTTCAAAGATGTTTGTGTGTGCCAGTCAGATTACAAAACCCAAGAAAATTGTAGCTATTCTTTTTCATTTGGGGTTTTCTTGTGGAAGGAATCATCGCATTTAGTCTCTTTGGAGAAGCCATTTGCAGTGGGATCTTGTGCACCTCCCATTCCCATCCCAAAGACTAATGTCTTGATGGTCTGGCTGTCTTGACACCCCTGGGCTTCTCAGGCAGCCCTAGGCTGGACGTTTATAGTCAACAAATATCATGGAAAGTCAGCCATACAAGAGACCCCAAGCCTGAGGACACTAGTGTAGCAGGGGTCAAGGCAAGCCCTGCAGCCACCCACCCCAGGCCAGTTCACTCCAGAGCTACGGTGAAAGAGGGAGGAAGGTCCCTCTCACTAGCTACCTGCCCCCGCCACTTATCTGTCTACCCGGGGGACCCTTGACAGCTTCAGAGACTGGCTTCAGGGGACCTGGGGGCATACCCACTCAAACCTACAACTGTGAATGAGGATGGGAGGCTGCCAAGAGGTGTATGTGTGGGAATGCGTCTCCGGCCCAGTCACAACTGAAGAATGGAATTCCCTCCCACATGCACTGAACGATGATACCACGTACGGCTGTCCCAAGGACCAAGCCTTTCTATGGACCTAGAGGGTCCAGACTCTAGCTACAAATGTCCCCAGAAAACAGTCTGGTCGTTCACTTCTTGGGTACTTTGTAAAATTTGCTTTTTATTGAGATGTCAGATTTGTGCATCAAATTGTATAAATCATAAGGGTGCAACTTGGTGAATTTTATGTATTGCCTATACAACCACCACCAGGTGCAAGCACATAATATTTTCAGTGCCCTGAGAGCCTCCCTCTAACCCCTCCCAGTCAATTCCATCTCCCGGAGGTAGCTGCTCTTCTGATTTCTATCCCCATAGATCTGGTTTGCCTGTTCTTGAACCTCATATAAATGGAATCACAGCATATGCACTCTTTTGTGGCTGCTTTGTGCTGTGCCGCATCATGTCTGTGAGGTTCCTCCATGTTGCTCAAGTAACACTAGGTCTTCCTTTTGTATTGCTGAGTAGTATTCCGTTGAGTGGATATGCCTCAAGTTGTTTACCTATTCTGGGACATTTAAGTGGTTTACAGTTTTTCATTAATATGATGAAAGCAGCCACAGCATTCCCGTATGTTTTCTGGTGCTCCTAAACATGGCAACCCAAATCCTGAGAGCAGGTTTTGTGGGCAACACATGGTTAAGAACTCCAGGAAAGAGGAATTAAAAATGACTGAGCTCCTGCTCTGGGCCACGGGCTTTTGTGGATCCACTGGACCAACCACAAAGGAAGGAAGACAGAAAAAGCAGCTCCCAAGGGGAACTCCGCCACATCACTGAGCCTGGAGCCAGCTGCGTGTGTGTGTGTGTGTGTGTGTGTGTGTGTGTGTGTGTGTGTGTGTGTGTGTGTCTGTGAGAGAGAGAGAGAGAGAGAGAGAGAGAGAGAGAGAGAGAGAGATTGGATTTGTTGCCTGGGGCTGCCACAACACATAACCACAGACTTGGTGACTCAGTGGTTTAAAACGACGGAAATGTATTCTCTCTCAGTGAAGGATGCAAAAACTCTGAACTCAAGGTGTTGACAGAGTCTTTCTTCCAGAGGCTCTGATGGAGATGGCTCCATGTCTCCCTCCTTGTTTCTGGTGGCTGCCCGCACCTTGGTATTACTCGGATCATAGCTGCCTCACTCCAGTGTCTGACTCCATCCTCACATGACCTTCTCTGTGTCTCCATGTCTCTGTTTCCAAATCTTCTTCTCCTTATAAGGACACCAGTCATTGGATTTAGGGCCCAGTCTAATCCAGTGCAATCTCATCTTAATTTGATTACATCTACAAATACCTTATTTCCAACTAAGGTTACATCCCCAGGTACTGGGGGTTAGGAGTGCATAAGTGTATGTGTATTCATGTGTATAAGTGTGAGGGGCAGTGAGTGTGTTATGTGCACGTGCTTGTGAGAACATGTCTGCGATGGTGCTTCTGGGTGTGCTTATGTGGCTGTAGGCATGTGTATATGAGTACGTGTGTGTGTACGTGCTTCTGTTTCTATGACTTGGAGACCCTGCTGGATGAGCTGGGAGCTGAGAAGGGTGGCAAGGCAAGATGGTGGCAGCGGGTTGAAGAGGTGCTTCGGGCCAGCCAGGTGAGCAGGCAGCCCTTGCCTCATGAATCTGGAAGAGTAGCTGGTGGATACAGACTCTTGAGAAACAAGGACAAATATGTTTTTTGAGCTAGGGTACAGGCTGGCAGGCCCAGGCAGTAGCTCCTGACAGCAGTGCCTGTTCCCAGGAATATTCCTAGAAGCCCCTCCACCCAAGCTCCTGACCCTTGCATCCCATTTGCCTGGACAGAGAGGCACTGTCTGACTCCTCCATTCCCAAGGATAAAAGTCATCATTCAGTTACCTATTGTGCCATCTGTAGTCCTGGCTACTTCGGAGGCTAAGGCAAGAGGATCACTTGAGCCCAGGAGGTCAAGGCTGCAGTGAGCCATGATTGCACCACTGCACTCCAGCTGTGGTGACAAAGTGAGATCATGTCTCTAGAAATAAATTAATTAATTAAAATAAAATAAACTTCACAACCAAGTTTAAATGGTGTTCTCATTATTCCCATTTTACAGATGCAGTCACTGAGGCCTCAAGGAGTTAAGTGATCTGCCTAAGATTACACCCCTTTGTTTACATGTGCTGAAAATTTTCAATTCTCTCCAGAAATCCATATCCTTCGCCCCCACCCCAGACTCAAACCACAGCTGCTCCCACCGAGGCCCACCTGTGCACCCCACACATACCCTTAAGTGCAGTCTTCCTCACATCCTTCCCCAGGAAGATTCCCTGGTCTGTCGGTAGTCAGTGTTGCGGGTGGTCTCTCCTCCCCTCCCATGCTTCTGGATTCCTCTGTGGGGTCCTGGTTTTGTTTTTGGTGTGCCAGCAAGCTCACTGCCTTTTTGAGTACTGTATGTCAGTGGATTTGCACGCACACACCTGGAGGAAGGGTGTCTGGGCATGAGGGGTGTCTTGGCAAGTGGGCTTACTTGCCAACCAGGGGCACATGTGGGTACAGTGCAGAGGAACATACATTGCGTAGGTTGTATCTGTGTGTGTGTCTAGACACAGGCAAATGAAGGGCCTGCCCGCTGCAAGTTTGGGGGTCTGCAGAATGACTCCCCATTTCTCTTCCCTTCCCAAATAACTGCCAGTGTCTTCAGTTCAGACTCCTGGCCTCCAGGTAAGGGCCTGGTGCAAACCGCCACTGACTGGGGACAGAGGCACCTGAGTCTCAAGCCCTGCCCAGACTGCTAGTGCCCTTGAGCAGGCATCACCCCACCCAGGCAGTGGGAGTGTCCTCACCCAATGGGATAGGGTGACATGGTGGAGGAGGTCTGAAGGGGGGAGAAGGCAGCAAGGCTTTCTGCTCCCTAGATGGGAGGCTCATTATCCTAGCACTCAGTAGGTTGTAGGGAAGGAGCCAGGACTTGGCACTGACTACAAAGGGTAAGGGGCACCCCCAGCACTCCCGCCGTGCCAGGCCAGGGGAGGGGCTGTGACGTTTGGTGGCCTCATGCAGCTGAGAGGAAGTAGCTAATTGCCAACCTGATGACTGGCGGCTGAGGAGTGGGGTGATGATGCCACTGGCAGAAGCAGGCGCCCTGGCCCAAGGAGGAGGCCCTTCAGCAACGGAGTGGGCCTGCATTCTGCCGAGGGTGAGACTGAGGTGGCTGTAAAGAAGGGGGCAGGGGTTTGTTGAGGCTGTGACCGTGGGAAAGAACTTCTCCAGAGCTTCCCTCAGCTTCAAGGGGAAAGAGTTCAGAGGCCATAAGGGGATGAAGGGATCTGGGAAGGTGCTTCAGGGGGATGGGGTGGGGGGAAAGAGGTTCCTATTGTTGCTCCCCTTCTGCCTGTGCTCCCCCCACCTTCCGGTCTCTCCCCTCCCCCACCTTAGCCCCCTCTTTGGCCCCTGTGGCCAAAGTTGTTGAGGAGGGAGGGAGCAGATGGAGGATTCTTTTCACCAGAAGACCCCCAGGCACAAGCAGCCCACCTTGCTGATGGTCAGAGCATCCAGAAGAAGTGGTGAGACTTCAGCTGTCCTCAAAAGCAGGAAGAGAGAGTGTTTCTGGCAGAAAGAACAGCTCAAGCAAAGGCTAGACAGTGGGATCTGGTGAGGCTGATGGAGGTCTGGGGCTTAGCTTCAACACTTAGGAGGTGGGCAGGATGTTCTGCACCAAGGGTCACACTGTCCCTTCCTGGAAGAAACAGTACCCAGCACTCAGAGCTTCTCCTACATGCTGGCCACTGCCTACGGCCCCGGCAGACCTGGCCCTCAACTGCCTGAGCAAGGGCCATGACCAGGTCAGGAGCCTCACAGGATGGGGACCCCACCTGCAATATTCCCAAGTGCATCAACCCCAGAGGACTGAAGCCCTGAGTCTCAAGAAACAAGTCCCATCCATCTGCAGGTCAGTCCGCTGGGCCCCTAGCACCCCCTATGGGCAGGAAGCAAGGCTAATGGAGGAGGAGCCTCCAGCAGCCTGGGGTGGTTGGGGGTGTGGGAGTGTGGGGTGAGGGAGGAGACACAGGCTTGCCTTCTGGGAAGCAGACAGACCAAGCCTCAGGAAACCCCAGTGTCACAGGTCACAGACACTGACCTTGAAGTGTTACTCTCATGGGTGAAATTTAGCCCCTGTCCTCAGGAAGCTCCCAGTCTGATGGGGGGGACATACAGTGCTCTCAGAGCTCCCTTCTTTAGCATGAAACTCAGCATCTGGCTTCAGGAAACTCCCAGGGTGAGACATGACATCTGCCCTTAGGGATCTCTCGGGGGGAGACCCACTGGGTTTTCGGGAACCACCAATCTGTTTCCAGACAGGGATTAGACATGTCAGTGCCTCTAGGGCTGCCAGGAAAAAAAATACAGGATATCCAATTAAATTGAATATTACATAAACAACGAATAATATTTTAGCATAAGTCTGTCCCATGCAATATTTGGAACAGACTTACACTATTTGCCAAATCTGGTAACCCTAGGTGCCTCCAGTTTGAGGGAGGAGAGAGGACACCCCCTCCACCCCAGACATGGGAAAGCAGGTAACACCTCCGCGTGCTCGGGAGGGCAGGGGTGGGGCAGGAGGAGAGTCCTGGGGCTCCGGCTCGCGGCAGTTTAAAATTCCTTCCAAGCCAGAGCCCTAATCCCTCGGTGCACAATGGCCACCTTCTCCCCCGCCGCCCGCGCCCACGCCCTCCCCCGCAGGGCCGTGGCAGTGCCACCAAGGGCCTCTTTAAGCCCCTTTGAAGCCGCGGAGCCCCGCGCCGCGGGAGGCCCCGCCGCTATGCCAGCTATGCCAACTATGTCCCCGCCGCCGCCGCTCCCCCATTAATGCTGGCTAATCTGGCTAATAAATAAACTCCCCTCCCCGCCCCCCGCAGAATCGATGTCAGGGCTCGGCTAGAGCAGGCGGCCCCACTCCACCCCACTCCCTGGAGATGCGGCTGACGTTTTTTCCTACGGCTGCCCTAGGCTTGCAGCCGTCTCTGAGTGTTTGGGGCACGTGGGATCTGGGAGGTCTCTGCCCGTCCACTGCGTTTGCCTCCCTCTTTTCCAGTCCACCTGCGCACCAGCGACAGGACACGTGGCTGGGTGCAGACGCCGGACTGGAGTCGCGGAGGACACGCGGGACGACTGAGCGCGCGGCGGCGGCGGGAGGAGATGCAGGTCCCGCCCCCTTCCCGCCGCCGACGGGGCGCGCGCGCCGAGGAGCCCGGGACAGGTGACTCCTAGGGGACGGCTTCTGCGCCTTCCCCGGCGGGAGTCCCTTCTTCACGGCCTCTGCCGCCCCCTGCGTCCCCTCCTGGGCTTCCGAGAGTCTGACTCAGCCGAGCCGGCATCGCTTCGCTTCCTACCACACACCCCGAGCGCGAGGAGAAATGACAGGATGGCAGAGGCACGGCTAATGCGCTCTAATTACCCACCGCCGCTGTCTTCCGCGGCGCTCCGCGGCACTGGGCCAACGCACCCTAATTAGGCCGCCCCTCCCTGGTCCTGGAACCCGCCCTTCGCCACTCCCCACCCACCTCGCGGCCCCCAGGAGCACTGGCTGCAGCCCTCCGGGACTGCCCCAAGAGAGCTACGAGGCCTTACTGAGGGACAGAACTTGGGGAGACCGAAGCCGGCGCCTTCACTCCCCTAAACTTACAGCCCTCGAAGTTCTCCGCTGGAGGAGACTGGGAGAGTGGGGAGGGGCCAGAGACCTATTTCGTTGACAGAAACACTGACTTCTGTTGGAACGTTATCCTTCAGTGGGAGGAGTGGCAAAGGCAGGCAGGGCAGCAGTACCCGCACTTGGCACTGAAGGCACCGAGAAGGGAAGGAAAGTCCGTCCAACCGGAACTCCCAGATCCGCTCGTTTAACAGTGGCCTAATGAGCAGCACAATGGGCTCCCTCCCCTGACAGGGAAATTACCTTCCTGCCAAGAGAAGTGACATCCCCACCACAGACACGGAGCCCCCGCCCGCTGGCCGACTGTGGCTTGTTGATCATAGGGGAGCTAGTGAGGAGTGGGGCGGCTCTGGCCTCCCATGTCAGGTAGGGTGTGAGAGGCCCTGAAGATAGAAGCCAGGCCTGTAGGCCAGAATTAAAGGGGCAGCGTGGCCATCAGCTCGTTTCCCACAACCAGGCTCAGAGCTCTCCTCTATCAGGAATTCTTTCCTGGGGTCCAGGAGGTTGCAAACTCATGGCCCTAGGCCACGTTTCATCTTCAGTGAGGTTTTGTTTGGCTTGCAATGAGTACCTGGGTTTTAGACTGAATGTGAGAGCCTGCAGACAGTGTGAGTTCTCCAACTGCCCTCCCAGTGAAGCTGGACCTCTGATTTAGATCAGCCCACTGGGCCCGTGCCTTCACCCTTTCCTCAGGGCCAAGACCTCAGTCCCCATGATTGCTGCTCCTTTGTGGTCTGCACGTTTCTTGGTAAGCATACGCAGTCAAGTGTCTCTGGGAGCCCACTCTGTCATCGTCAGCTTCCCTACATGCAGTAGCCATGGTGGCTGCACATGCTCCCGGATACCCCTCCACACTACCTTTTGTCATTCTGAGTTTCAGTCCGACTTGGGTGGACTGTATTTTCTCCAACAGGGATGGCAGCTATTTTTCTGCCATGAGACTAGAGCATGCTTGAGAAGAGGAAATTGGATCTCTCCCTCCAGACTGGGATTTCACTAAGGGGCTGGGCAAGGGGGGAATATGAGAGGATTATTCTCCATCACAGGGAGTGCTCTGCAGTAAGGGCTGTGTCTCTGATTCAGACTGATGGTTCCCTGAGGACGGGGCAGTGTCTCCCCTCAGACTGGGGCCCCCTTTCCCCTCAGACTGGGTCTCCCTGAGGATGGAGCTGAGTCTCCCCTCAGACTGGGGCTCCCTGAGGACAGGGCTGTCTCCCCCCTTCAGACTGGGGCCTCCCCCAAAGGACAGGGACGGTGTCTCCCCGAGAATAGGCTCTTTGTGTCTTCTGGATCAGACTGAGATCTTCATGAGGACAGGGCTGTGTCTCCCCCTCAATCTGGAGCTCTCTGAAGGCAATCGCCTCTCCCCTCAAGTGGGCCGTTTGCACCCCACCGCACCCCACCCTCTGGCTCCCCATGGCACCCAGGCATTCCTCCCAGGACACCATTTGTCACGCTTTGATGAATGAACCCTACTAAGAATAACTCAGTCCTTGTAGGCACTAAAGGACAGGGGGAGGGAGAGGGAGGAGGCTGGTGATTGTGGGGGTGCTGGGGGAGGAGGGACACACTCCATTTATTCAGTAGCATTTCCTGGATGCCCAGCTGGGCACTGGGGGAGACACAGTGAGTGCCACGGAGCCCCCTACTGTGCCATTTCTGCCACCGACAGCCAGGGGCGTCCCCTGAGACAGAAAGTTTAGGCCCCTGCTTCACAGCCTTCCCACCCCAGCAATCATTACCTCAGGGCCAGCCAGCCCCCTCCATGCCAATCAGGAGCTCTCTCTGCTCCTCCTATCAGTGGAGGGGAGACTTTGAAATCAGGTGCTTGGGGTAGGGAAGCTGCTCCCAGTGGGGGTGTGAGGAACCCAGAGGATGAATCCCTGTCCCCGCCAACCCTACTCTGTTCTTCCTTACCCTGCCCCTTTCCACTCCAAAACCTCAAGCCTCTAGTTCATATTCAAGTGACCTTTCCAATGCAACTGTTCTCAGGGGCCCCCCTGGGAACTGTGAGGCTGTGATCTTAACCCACTTCTTTGGATGGTGCCTTCCTGGCACTCCGCCTCCACCTGCCACCTCCTGAGAGGAACATTTCGGCCTGTCTTGGCAAAAACATCAGTCTGTGATCCAGGCAGCCTGGTACAATACCAGCTTTGCTACTGACACCACTGTGACCTTGAGAAGCCATTTACAACCTATGGGCCTCAGTTTCTCCATAAGTAAAATGTTTGTTTAGGTTTCCTGATTTTCAAATCTTTTTTTTTTTTTCAACAATGAATCCTCTTGTTTGAATTGTAACTCACATGGCACCTCTGTTCTCTGTGGTAGCATCAGAAGAAGTTGGGGATTCTATGGTCAAAATAGGGGTGGGCTTCATGCCCCAGCGGTCAGTCCATGACACGCAAATGCGCACACACATGTGCATACAAATCAGCTCCCAGGCACTGTGGAGCCCATTGACAAATGTCTGAACTCTGAAATCCTTTCCCACTCAAACATTCTGGGACCCTGACAGAACTGGAAGCTCTAGAACCAGGAGTACTGCTAGCTCTGAGGATGAGGCCATGACTTCGGACCCTGGTGCCTAGGGCTGAGGTTGAGCCAGCAGGGGTCCTTTCCAAACTGGATCCAAAGTCACAGCCTGGGCAAACCCTCACTGCCTTCTGCCCTCCCCACCCATCCAAGCCTGAGGTCAGATAGGCTTGTCTGACGCTGAGTCCTTGGGTGGGAGGCTCTGGGAGCTCTTCTCTGGAATCCCTCTCACATTTTTTGGAGGAGGGTCAGACTGGTAGGGTGGGAGGGCCAGCAGGGCCCTGCAGTGGCTGAGGGCTGGGGGCTGATCCCGGAAAACCCAAGGGGGGAAGCATAGGGAGGGAAGACTCAGGAAGCTACACCACTCCATCCACAAGTGTGAGAATTCGATACCAAGAGAGAACGCAGGTAGGACAGGGCCCACCAGACACTGGTGACGGGAAGGCAACAGTGAAGACCGGAGCAGGTACAGCCCAAGGAATAAAAAAGGCACCAATAAGAGGCAGGCCTGGGCCTGGGCTCCCAGCTTAGGGCAGCAGGGCAGAGCTCTTCAAGGGAGAAACCACAGATACATCCCAGCCCCTCCTTGATGTTGTGAGTCAGGGGTACAGTTCCAAATGCCCAGGGTCACCACAAAGGAGGTGCTTCCCCCTCCCCTGCATCTGCATGGCCCTGGAGAGGCCATTTCTCCTGGTTTCCCTCAGGGAATATGGCCAGAGAGCTGCTGTGAGAGTCTGCCCTGAGTCCCTACCTCACTGAGATGTACAACGAGGTAAGGGAAGAGATACTCACCGACTTGTATCCCTTCATCCAAACACACACACACACACACACACACACACACACACACACACACACACAGAGAGAGAGAGAGAGAGAGAGAGAGAGAGAGGTATTTGTCCCCAGGGAATGCCTATCGACTTCGTTGTCTTGGCCCTGGAAACCTCTAGACGGCTGCCATGTTGCCAGGCACAGCTCTGGGAACTGAGGCTGCTGCAATGAAAATGTCAGCCAAGTTCTCTGCCTTCATGGTGCTCACATTCTAGGCAGGGAAAGACAGATGATCAATGAGTGAAAAAAATAATAAAGCTCAGGTCGCAATGTGGCAAGTATTTGAAGAGTGATTTTGGCAGGGGTGGGGGTGGGGGAGGAGGTGCTGTTTTATCTAGGGTGGCCCAAAAATATCTCTGTGAGGTGATAACATTTGAGTGGGAATCTGGAAAACAAGAAGCCAGTTGTACTTTGGGGTCAGAAGGAGAAGAAGCCAGTCCTGCTTTGGGGTCAAAAGGACTCCAAAAATTTAGTTTTTTAAATGGAAAAGACATGTTTACCCCTAAATATTAAAGGGAAAGGAAATGAAAACTGTGTTTCTGGAGCACCTATTATATGTCTAGCACTATGATGGAAAATTCACAGACATCATTTCCCATCACCCTCTTCAGAGCCCTGTGTGCCAAATAGTATTATTTTCATTTTATGGATATGAAATGAGAAATCCATAGAGATTATTATTTCACTCATTTAAAAAGATTTATTGAGTATTTGCCTCTGAAAATGCTGTAATAAATCCCATATGGACCTTGCCCTTCTAGGGCCTACAGTCTGTGAGAGCAAGAAGGATCAGGGAGGGTTTCCTGGAGGGGTCATTGTCTGAGTCTGAAAGGATGAGGAGTGGGTGACGGGTGAAGTGAGTTGGAGGGGCCAGAATTTGAGGTAGAAGGAGCAGCCTGTCGTAGGCAAGGACTTCATGACCAAAACACCAAAAGCATTGGCAACAAATGCCAAAATAGACAAATGGGACCTAATCAAACTCCACAGCTTCTGCTCGGCAAAAGAAACAGTCATTAGAGTGAATCGGCAACCAACAGAATGGGAAAAAAATTTTTGCAGTCTACCCATATGACAAAGGGCTAATATCCAGAATTTACAAAGAACTAAAACAGATCTACAAGAAAAAAACAAGCCCATTCAAAAGTGGGCAGAGGATATGAACAGACACTTTACAAAAGAAGACATACATGAGGCCAACAAACATATGAAAAAATGCTCATCATCACTGGTCATTAGAGAAATGCAAATCAAAACCACATTGAGATACCATCTCACGCCAGTTCGAATGGCGATCATTAAAAAAATCTAGAGACAACAGATGCTGGAGAGGATGTGGAGAAATAGGAACACTTTTACACTGTTGGTGGGAGTGTAAATTAGTTCAACCATTGTGGAAGATGGTGTGGCAATTCCTTAAGGACCTAGAAATAGAAATTCCATTTGACCCAGCAATCCTATTACTGGGTATATATCCAAAGGATTATAAATTGTTCTACTATAAGGACACATGCACACAAATGTTGATTGCAGCACTGTTTACAATAGCAAAGACCTGGAACCAACCCAAATGCCCATCGACGATAGACTGGACAGGGAAAATGTGGCACATATACACCATGGAATATTATGCAGCCATCAAAAACGATGAGTTCGTGTCCTTTGTAGGGACATGGATGAACCTGGAAACCATCATTCTCAGCAAACTGACACAAGAGCAGAAAATCAAACACCGCATGTTCTCACTCATAGGCGGGTGTTGAACAATGAGAACACATGGACACAGAGAGGGGAGCACTACATACTGGGGTCCGTTGGGGGGAAATGGGGGAGGGACAGTGGGTGGTGGGATGTTGGGGAGAGATAGCATGGGGAGAAATGCCAGGTGTAGGTGAAGGGGAGGAAGGCAGCAAATCACACTGTCATGTGTGTACCTATGCAACTATCTTGCATGTTCTTCACATGTACCCCAAAACCGAAAATGCAATTAAAAAAAAAAAAGAAGAAGGAGCAGCCTGTGCAAAGGCCTGGAGCCCGGAGCACAGTGTGCCCGGAACTTCAAGTCGTGCAGGATGGCCCAGCCTGGAGGGGGAGTGGGGCAAACTGGGGCTGGGGAGCTGGCTGGGGCGGGGCATGAGGGGCAGGGTAGGTCTGGACTTCCTTTATGGGAGACCGTGCTATGAAAGGGTTATAACCAGAGAAATAGCAGGATCAGGTGTCTCTTTAAAAGGCTTCCTGTGGGGGCTGAGGTGAGGAGTGGGCTGGGATCTCGGAGAGGGGGTGTGACTGGTGGGCAGAAGTAAAGGACTGAGGAGGGGGTCCTGGCCAGGTGTCTGAGGAGCCTGGGGTGGTGAGTAGGACTCCACAGGCAGAACAGATGGGGCCACCTGGTGTGGTTGTTAGGCAAGGCAGGTGAGTGGGGCCCTAGCCAGAACTCTGATGACCCGGCTATTTCCAAGTGACAGGGTTACCAAAGGCAAAAAGGCGGATGCCAGCCAACAGAGAGGCCTATCAGACAATTCCTACAGGCTCACACACTGTACCATTACACACAGGCGTGTGCACACCACACAGACACCCAAACACACATGCATCTGGCCCCACCTCCCCATCTGTATTGACAGTGGACTGAGAAGGGGCATGGGAGCCAGGGCAGAGATCACAGAGCTGCAGCATCTTGCTTAGCTCAGGCCCATGCCCTGTGTACCTCTTTCTGGAGCCCTGGGGTAGATGCTACTCCGTAGCCCTCTTTCAGGGGCTTAGGTCCCTTAGTCCCGCAGCTCCTCATATACCCTGAGAACCTGCCGCTAGGTACCTAATCCAGGATAAGCAGACTAGTACGTGCAACCCCAAGACCAAGGCAAAGCATCAGGTAGAGCATTCACAGGGAATGCATCCCTGACCTTCACAGCCAGCACTCGAATCCGGACTTGGAACAGACCCTACTGGGTGGAGGGAACAGTCCATACCAGAGAGATGAGCATTCGCAGGGCCAGTGTAAAACTCAAGGCCAGACACTCAAAGCTCAAACACAGTCTGGGGGAGGCCACACGTAAGAACAGTTTGCGTGAACATTTCTGGGAGAAGCCTTGCCCTTCAGGAAGCAGTGAGCGGGCAGACTCAGGCTGCACTAACGGGAGGGCAGAGTCCAACCTGAGAGGTGTGCCCCCTGGGCACCAAGCTGGCCAGTCCCTTCTGGAGCAGTGGGTCTAGACCTGGGGACCTCCTCAAGGGGACAGTGACAAAAAGGGTGACCGGGTGGGGAGGAGTCCAGAAACCCCATTATATGAGGAAGTGCCACAGGGGTGTTTCACCCAAAAGAAAGCCTTTTCTGTGGACGGTATCCCTCTTTAACATGCTCTACCTGATGCCTTGCCTTGGTCTTGGGGTTGCACTTACCAGAGACAGTTTTGCAGCTACCTATTTGGTTGATCTGTAGTGCCTCCAACTAGGCTGTAAACTTCATGAGATCAGGGGCTGTACATGCTTTTTTACCATTGTTTTCCTGGTGCCTGGCACATACCAGAAGCTCAATAGTTGTCTACAGATGGAAAGAAGAAGAAAGGAGGGAAGGAAGAAAAAAAGAAGGAAGGAGGGAAGAAGGAAGGGAAGGAAGGAAGGAGGGAGGGGAGGAGGGAAGGAAGGAAGTTGGGGAGAAGGAAGGCAGGAAGGAAGGAAGAGAGTTGAGCATTCCTTGAATGCTCTGAAGGCTGTCATGTAAAGGAGGGTTAAACTGATTCTCAAGGGGCAGAAGAAATGCCAGCAGAAGGTGAATTTAGGGAGTCAGTTTTGAAATCATCAACAGTAAGAAGTCTTAAAAGTCAGTTGGTCACAATGTCGATTGGATGGTCCCAGAAGACTATGAGCTTCCCAGAAATGAGTTTAATCAAAAGCCAAAGTAGCGCTTTGCAGAAGTGCTATTGCTTCAATGAAGAAAC